CAGATGTCTCACCAGCTGCCTCCAGCCGTCAACACAAACTGCAGTTCCATTCATGTCCAGCAGGAGCAGGAACTAAACCTTATTTCTAACGATCACACGATCAATTTCCTGACGTACGTCTGAATCACAGGAGAGGAAACGAGTAAAAGTCCCGCTTCAGCCGGGCCTGAGCGCCGCTTCTGTCTCTGTCTTTGGTCCAATCCCGTCCTGATGAAGAAATCAAACATGGTTTAGTTCCCCGTCGTGTCTGTCACCACTGACTCGTCTGTCTGTGAACCGACGCTGGTTGTTATTGTGTTGGCAACAACACGTACGTGGGTCAGTGATCACTGCCGACGCTGGTTGTTATTGTGTTGGCAACAACACGTACATGGGTCTGTGGTCAGTTGTCATCAGGTCAGTGACTGACCTGATGTAAAGTATTGTAGTAATATTTACCGTTACTGTCCCAAAGGTGGTGCTGTGTTAGTTTTAGAACCAGCAACCAAGTTTCCCAAAACTTTAGAGAACAACAAGGTCGTTATCTTCCAACCATAACGAGTGTGTGTGTGTGTGTGTGTGTGTGTGTCCGTGTGTGTGTGTGTCCCAGCAGATATAAATCACTGTCTTCTAACTGCTGCAGTGACCTTTGTTGACGAGGAGGCGCAGCCTCTGGAATCTTTCTCCGTCTCCGTCACGTTTCCTGTCGTCACCACTGCACCACCGCACTGGTCTTTATTAGTACATGACCTTTGACCCCGCCCTGACTGGAGGGTTAGATCCATTTGATTTCGTTGATTTTTTCTGCACAGCTGAATCTTGAACACTGCAGCCGGTGGCTGCTGAGGCTGTCAATCAAACGTCAGAGTATGACTGGTCATAATGATACGGACGGATAGAACAGTCAGAACAGTCAGAACAGTCAGAACAGTCAGAACACCGACACTGAACTGCCATCACTGTCCTTTGTTCCTTTGATCCTCTCTCTTCCAGTCCCATGGTCTGGGCTTGTTCCTTTGATGTCTTCAGACTGAGATCAACAACAATCACTGCAGCCATCGTTACATTATTCACTGTATTCTCTGGCCTGAGGGCCAGCGCCACCTGCTGGTCCGCTCTGGTCAGATGTTCTTCTCTCTCTGTCCGTCCGAGACAGAAGAGTTCTGTAGATGAAAGTTTCCACCTGGACAGTCGGACGACGTCGGTCATCTTCACCTTTAACTTCGACACTTTGTTGTTTCCTACAGGATCAATTATTGGCGTCACTGATTGCGATGAAACTGAATCCGTGTCTTTTCTTCTTGCTCTCGGCCAAAGTGCCCAGACTCCATTTCCTGTAAGTGTAAAAGAATCTGCTCCGACTTCTATATTTGGATCCACTCAGAATCAATTAGAGCTTAAAGCTTTTCCACTTCCTCCTCAGACTGAAGTTCTCCAAGGTTCCACCAACTCAGAGGCTGAAGAACCGACTGACGGCAGTTCGTGTTAGATTCTGGGGGAAAAACATTTTTTACATTTTAAATTTCTAAATAGAATAATAGAAAAACGATTTACGACATTTTTGTTTGATGTTGCATGATGGGATTTCTTTAATACGTGGATTTTCATAGGTTGACGTTGACGACTGATCTTTTGTTTTTTATTTCTAATATTTTTTGGAAAAATACAAAAGTATTTTTGTTCATTTGAGTTAAATCCTAAATACTAATACTACAAATACTACTACTACTAATACTCACAGTGTCAGTTGGTGCTGCTGCGTCTGTTGCTGGGTCTGTTGCTGGGTCTGTTGCTGTGTCTGTTGTGGTCGTGGACCAGGTCACACTGGTTTGTTTGTTGATGGTTTGTCCAATCACAACAAACCTGCTGCTGTCTCATCTGCACTTCCCATTTTCAACCTGTTCAGGAGTGGCAGAGAAGCACTTGAGGGTGGAGCAAAACATGTCCACGTCTGCTGCCGGGTTAAAAACCAGGGGTCAAGTTGGACCTGTAGAGGGCAGTGTGTTAGTATGTTGTTAAGGTGACCAAGTATATCAGAAGACCAAGAGAAATGACTGGAACAAACTTTGACAGACATGAACTGTGAGCTGAGATGGAACTGTTTGGTCCAGTCCTCCCATCTGTTTGTTTAGGACCTGCTAACACTGCTAATACGGCTAACATTAGCCTTGAACCCAACTTTGTTTCTTTCAAAACCACTAGATTAATGTGGTTAATTTGATAAAGCTGAGTGTGAACGGAGGAGGAAACTGAAAAAAAAAAACAAGTGGTGGAGAGGGAATCGGAGTTGGATCAAAAACAAACAGAACGGCGCCACCTGCTACAGAATCAGTGAAATATTGTGAACATACGAGCAGTCGTTTCCCACGTCGCCCTGTGCTCACAAATCCTTCCAGCTCAGAAAGCACCACCTGTCCAGGTGTGTGGGGATCTGTTTAACCAAGAGCAGCAGCCGCAGCTCGTTTATCACCGCTGAAACAAGAGCCGTCGGCCGCGGTGGAGATCTGCTGGCACAGGGGGGGGGGGGGGGTACGTATCCATCCACCCGGAATAATAACAATCATTTTACCAACCAGTGTCTGGGTTGGAAATATATATATATATACATATATTTCAGTCATGACGATTTCCTCTCTTCAGAAACATGAAATCAACAGAGTGTTTGAAGCTGCAGCGTCAGAGTCACTGATCAATACTTTGGTTTTACAGTAAGAAACAACGCTGAAGAAAAGTCGACTTAAAACCTTTTTAAACCAGATCTCCACCGTGGATCTGACCTGTGATAAATGTTTGGATCACATTTAATAACATGACAACATAGAAATGAAAAGGTGGAGAACACGGTGATGGTGGTCAAAGGGTCATAAGGTCATAACTGACGGTCACTCCTGGACTACAGGCCAGTGATGAAGCTAAAATATATTTTTCCGTTCAGTTTCCGTTCAGTTTCTGTTCAGTTTCCGTTCAGTTTCCGTTCAGTTTCTGTTCAGTTTCCGTTCAGTTTCCGTTCAGTTTCCGTTCAGTTTCCGTTCGTTCA